TAAGGATGAGGGGAATGGGGGGGTCTCTCCCCTTCTGACCCCTGCCCAGGGCTGCGGGCGGCCGTGCAACTGGTGGGGTCCGGAGGTGGTCTCCAGACACCCGGGGGGTCCCTGCGCCTCCTCTGCAAGGGCTCCGGCTTCACCTTCAGCAGCTTCAGCATGGGATGGATGCGACAGGCGCCCGGGAAGGGGCTCGAGTGGGTCGCGGGTATTTACAGCGATGGTAGTAGCACCAGGTACGCGCCGTCGGTCAAAGGACGCTTCACCCTCTCGAGGGACAACTCCCAGAGCACGCTCACGCTGCAGATGAACAGCCTCAGGGCCGACGACACGGCCACCTACTACTGCACGAAAGATGCTGCTGATGGTGCTAGAAAAGCTGGCATCACGTCCCAGCATCCCTGAGCTGTGTCCCAGCATCTCAGCATCTTCCAAAACCCTTGCTGTGACCCCAGACTCCAGCTCCAAGACTGGACCCTCACAGTGATCCCAGAGCCTTGTACGGAACCCAGACCCTCACCCTGAGCCCGGACCCCTGCCCCGACCGTGGATCCTTTGATCCGTGCTTGAACCCTCACACTCTGCCCCAACGTCCCTGCACCGTTCCCAGCATCTTCCCAAAGCCCGGACCCTCAACCTGAGCCTGGACTGTTTGCAGGAGTCTGGACCCTTTGCAAGGAGCCCGGACCCCTGCACGGTGCCCAAATCCCTGGGTCTTGCCCCAAACCCAGGCTCGGTGCGTCCTCTGCAAGGGCTGTACGTTGGGTGAGAGACGTCTGGGCTGGGTGGGAAGGGTCAAAACTCAGGACAAGGGTCCGGGTTGGGTGAAGGGGACGACAACAGGTTGGGAGTTTGGGAAAGATTTCAGGATTTGAGGATGCAGCACAGGGATGTTGGGGCTCAATGCCAGGGTTGGTGCCACCACCATAATTATCATCTTCTTTCCCGCAGTAGTAGGTGGCCGTGTCGTCGGCCCTGAGGCTGTTCATCTGCAGCGTGACCGTGCTCTGGGAGTTGTCCCTCGAGATGGTGAAGCGTCCTTTGACCGACGGCGCGTAGTAGGTGCTACCATCGTTGTCAATACTCACGACATATTCGAGCCCCTTCCCGGGCGCCTGTCGCACCCACTGCATGTTGTTGCTGCTGAAGGTGAAGCCGGAGCCCCTGCAGGGGTCTGGGCTGGGAGCAACGGGTCTGTGTTGAGAGCAAGGGGTCCAGGGTTAGGACAGGGGTCTGGGCTCGTTTCAAGGGGTCCAGGATTGGGTCAGGGGTCTGGAAACAGGGCTGGGATGGTCAAGACCCCCTGAACCCTCCTTTGGTGTAACCACCACCCTGAGCAACTCGAGTCCCACTGGGCAGAGAGGACCCCCCCAGCAGGAGCCACCCCAGAGCAGCCCCCCACTCCACCTTCCTCCTCCTTGTCTTCTTCCTCGCAGCCCTCTCAAAAAGGATCCCCCAACCTCCATCATGCAGATTTTGGGTGGGTGGGCGACTCAGGGACCCGGGCGACTCAATCCCGTCCTTTCTCTCTCCGCAGGGCTGCGGGCGGCCGTGCAACTGGTGGGGTCCGGAGGTGGTCTCCAGACACCCGGGGGGTCCCTGCGCCTCCTCTGCAAGGCCTCCGGCTTCACCTTCAGCAGCTTCGGCATGAACTGGGTGCGACAGGCGCCTGGGAAGGGGCTCGAGTACGTTGCGGGTATTAGCAGCAGTGGTAGTAGCACCTACTACGCGCCGTCGGTCAAGGGACGCTTCACCATCTCGAGGGACAACTCCCAGAGCACGGTCACGCTGCAGATGAACAGCCTCAGGGCCGACGACACGGCCACCTACTACTGCGGGAGACATGCTGGTGGTGGTGGCACCAGCCCCAACACCCTGCACTGTGTCCCCAAATCCTCCCAAAACCATCACCCCACTCCAAGACCCCTGCAGCCACTCCAGATCCTTGCCCTGAGCCTCGGCCGTTTGTCCCACACCTCAACCATTTGCCACAAACCTCAACTCTTTCACCCAAACTGCAGTCTTCTTTGCCCCAAATCTCAACCTTGTTTGCCCCAAATCTCTACCATTTGCCCCAAAGCTCAAGCTTTGCCCCAGAGCTCAACCATTTTTGCCCCAAAGCTCAATTGTTTGCACCAAACTTTGATTGTTTGCCACAAACCTCAACCATTTCCATCAAACCTCAACCATTTCCATCAAACCTCAAACATTTTGGCCCCAAACTTCAACCGCTTGCCCCAAACCTCAACCATGTTTGCCCCAAACTGCAGTCTTGTTTGCCCCAAACCTCAACCATGTTTGCCCCAGAGCTCAGCTGTTTGCATCAAAGCTCAACTGGTTTGGCCCCAAACCTCAACTGTTTTACCCAAACTGCAATCTTTTTTGCCCCGAAGCTCTACCATTTGCCCCAAACCTCAACCCTTTGCCCCAAAGCTCAACTGGTTTTGCCTCAAACCTCAACCATTTTTGCCCCAAACCTCGACCGTTTTGGCCCCAAAGCTCAACCATGTTTGCCCCAAAGCTCAACTGTGTTTGCCTCAAACTTTGACTGTTTGCCACGAACCTCAACTGTTGGCCCCAAACCTCAACCATTTTGGCCCCAAACCTCAATCATTTTGGCCCCAAACCTCAACCGTTTCACCCAAATCTCAACCGTTTCACCCAAATCTCAACCGTTTTTGTGCCAAACTTTGACTGTTTGCCACAAACCTCGACCGTTTTGGCCCCAAACCCCAATGGGTTTTGGCCCCAAACCTCAACCATTTGCCCCAAACCTCAACTGTTTTGCCCCAAACCTCGACCGTTCGCACCAAACCTCAAGTGTTTGCCCCAAACCTCGACCGTTTTTGCCCCAAACCTCAACCGTTTTGCACCAAACTTTGACTGTTTGCCACAAACCTCAACCATTTGCCCCAACCTCAACCATTTGCCCCAACCTCAACTGTTTTGCCCCAAACCTCAACCGGTTTTGCCCCAAACCTCAACCGTTCGCCCCAAACCTCAACCGGTTTTGCCCAAAAGCTCAACCGGTTTTGGCCCCAAACCTCAACCATTTGCCCCAACCTCAACTGTTTTGCCCCAAACCTCAATTGTTTTGCCCCAAACCTCAACCGTTTGCCCCAAACCTCAACCGTTTGCCCCAAACCTCAAGTGTTTTGCCCCAAACCTCAATTGTTTTTGCCCCAAACCTCAAGTGTTTTGCCCCAAACCTCAATTGTTTTTGCCCCAAATCTTGGCCAAGCCCAACATCTTCCTGATGCCCCAAGCCTGGATCCCTGTGGGGTACCCAGACCTTGGCCCCAATACACTTATTAATTAGCTTTAATTAAGAAGACTAATAATTTAATTATTAGTCCTAATACACTTAAATATTAGCCTTAATGAACTAATTACTAGCCATAGTTTAGGAGGCATGGGGGAGAAATTTAATTGTAAGCCCTAATGGACTTAATTATTAGCCATAATTTAGGAGGCAGGGGGGAGGAAATCTAATTATAAGCCCTAATGGACTTAATTATTAGCCATAATTTAGGAGGCAGGGGGGAGGAAATCTAATTATAAGCCCTAATGGACTTAATTATTAGCCCTCATATAGGTGGGCTGCGGAATAAATGTAATTATAAGCCCTAGTAGACTTAATTATTAGCCCTAATTTAGGGAGGCTGGGGAACAAATTTCATTATAAGGCCTAATAGACTTAATTATTAGCCCTAATAGACTCAATTATTAGCCCTAATTTAGGGAGGCTGGGGAATAAATTTCATTGTAAGGCCTAATAGACTTAATTATTAGC